TTGTACTGACGAAAAGGTAAATCAAGGTGGATAAAAGATAGAAACAGAAGTTATAATATAGAAAGTAGAAGTGGACTAACTGGAAAATTTATATAACAAAATATAATCGAAGTTCTAAATGCTTCGGAACAATGAAATACAAGTTTCGTGACTTTATAGAATGCACATAGAAGATAATATCAGACAAAGTGATGTTTGCTATATTTAGGATAGAAATGTATTTTGATTAGTAAAAGAAAGGTCGAGATAAATTAGTAAGGAAATTTGGTGGCCATTTGGCAATTCTTCAATGTGAAAAAAATATTTAAAATTACTGTATCAGGCGAATCATATAGTTTATCGATCTTTTCGTCAACTCCTTCACATGAATATAAATATAAGTCTTTAAAACGAATTAATAATCACATTTTACAGGAATTATGGATTATTATGGAAGAATTTGACGAAGCAACCGAATAAATAAGATAACGAAATTCGAAATAATAGTTGGATATGTGTTTAGGTTAAGAAAATTAAATTATATGACATATAGTAGAGTAGGAAAGTACACCATCGAATTTATAGCATTATTGAAAGCGAAGAGATTTTATTATTTTACTTGTTATCTATTATATGAGATCCATTTACAGATTCAAAATAAATAATATCTTATGGAATAACTAGCTAGATATCATTACAAAGAAACCGAAATCTCTTTAAAACGCTTACATATATGTAATTATAATGATCTAGGTAGAGCAGACCATTTTTAGCTACTTCAAGCCATCTATTTAGCCATCCAAGATAGCCATAGCGACAAACTAATGCCAAAGAGACTATAAATGAGAATATAATATGCTATAGAAATTAAGAGGTATAAAACAAACACAAATTTCGATTCCTTTATAAATACAAAGAAGTGATAAGAATATAACGAAGAAATAATTTTTTAATATGATTTTCAGAAAAAAGACCGAAAATGACCAAATATTTCAAAATATAGAAAAAAAATTGAACATATAGATATTTTAGAATATAACAGATCACTAAAAATCAAAAATGAAAATTATTGGCTGTTTAATTCAATCAAAATAAATAAATTAAGTTTTTCTAAAATTTTATTTTTTTCACCCAATGTTTTCAATATTTAAATTTTGTTGTTCAATATGGTGTTTAAATGATTTGTTATCAGAAAGAGAAGATTACAATATGATATTACCAATATATCTAGAACATAATGCACTTACTTATGTGAACACATTTAGAAATTACTTTCCTACTTTGGTAATAGAAACTATTGAAAGAAATTTTGGAGAAATATTCAATTTTGATCATAGTGAGGCTATGGTATCTAATGAAGAATATATATTTCCTATTTTACATTTTTGTAAGTTGTTTCTGAATATTAGTGGGAATATAGAAATATTTTATTGTAATTTTATGTTATTACTAATCAGGATGAAATATATTGAATATTTTGATAAATTAAAAAACAGTCATACGAATGATAAAAAATATTTTCAAGTTAGTTTAAATTTTGCTTGGAATTTACAGATTATTGTAAACACACTTTATGATTTTCTAAATACAGAGGAAGAACGTATAAAAGTTATGTTTTTTTTAACAAACGAGAAAATGAAGATTTTGGATAAAAAAACGGAGTCATTTTTGGATTCCTCATATTTTAAATTTAATTTCAATTTCCATGATCTTGTTCTGAAATGTAGATGCAATCCTTTTTCGGTAAAATGGCAAGAATTTTTTGAAGGAAATCGAGAAGATATTTTTTTTAGAATTTTGTCGTTATTTTTTTTGTCTTTATACGAAAATACTACATCATTTATTTTTGACGATAATAATTTTGATCGGGTTAAAAATTGTTCCGTGATTATAGGAGATGTTTTCTCCACTAGGAAAATTAATGAGGAAACAGATTATTGCATGGCAAAAGTAAACATAGTGTTTGATGCTTCTATCAATAAAATGGGTGAACTGATGCAGAAAAATAGCCTGCTAAGTGGTCAAGAATCTTTTAACAAAATTTTTATGGCTTGCGCGCAGGAATGCTTGCCAACTAGTTCAACAGTTACTTATACATATGATAAAGCCGAAATCATTTGGCATATCAGAAATTTAATAGAATTATATAAAATCTACGATATAAACAGTGACAATTTTGAAAAAATTGCAAAGATTTGCAATATTATATACATATTATCTTATGATTTTTATTCTGATACAAAATATATTCAACTCTGGAATTTCTGTTTGTATAAACTAAGCTATTTAAAAGAAGTATTGATCGAAACCGATTTTAAACATGTTGACTTTGATTTAAGTAAGAAAATCGTTGCTTTATGCTTTGAATACCATTTTTCAATTCAATTCCAACAATTTCGAAGCAAGTTGAACAAAATTCGGATATTTGAATACTCTGATGAATTTAATCAGCCCATTTTATATGTGAGATCTGGTTACCAACCAGTATTTGACTCAAAACTTACCTTATTTTTTAATCATTTTTCAGAAAATATTTTTTTTGTAAAATTTCTAGTTCCAACCGACCTGTACCATTATATTTTTCATAATAATTTAAATTTAAACGTAAGCATCATCAATTTATTACATTGCTCAATGTCTATCCAAAATGAAACACCCTTCTTGTCTGCTTTTACTAAAGAATATCTAAAATTTAAAAAAATAGTTAATTGTTACGAAAATAAATGAAATTACCCAATTAAATAATTAAATATTCTAATTTTTATATTTTTTTGTAATTTAATAATTAATCTTAATCTTTCTATAAAAAGCAGATAAAATCTTTTTTTCACGCAAAAACACAATAAATGAATAGATTATCATAAAAATATTCTATATTCCAAAAAATCTTAATTCAGAGCAAATCCATTAAAAAAACACAAAAACCGAGAATATTTTACAACCAATCTGATTATTAGATCATATAATACATTTATCAAAGTCAAATAAAGTATAAATGATTGAAAAGCAAAAATATTTCTAACAACAAAATTATTTAATCTCGAATTACTCATATATTAACTAACCTTCATTCTGATAAAAAAACTATTACATGTATTTACGAGATATCATGCAATTAATAGTACAAGATATTCATTTTAATTAGATTTATTCTATAAATGAATAATCATTAATAAAATAATCAGTTGGATCAAAAATTAAAACTTTAATTGTATGATTAAGATATAAATCAAATAGCTTGACGTAAAATATTGATAATTACACATTTAAATCGTTATAGTTAAAGGTGTGAGACATAATTTAATACATGCTGTTCTAAGAGTATGTAAAATTGAGAAGAAACTGCGCTCGAATTTAAAACACTCTACTTTTTGGTTCTTCGATGAATACTTAATATTGAATAGGTAGTAAATATAATTCTATACTTCTTTATATTAATTTGTAGTCTTTTATTTTACTTATTTGATAATACGACTAAAATTTAGGTAATGTACAGTTATAGTAAGTTTTGGTCTTTCAAGTTTAAGACGCTGCGCCTGAGATATAAAAAAACAACCGCTTTCAAACAATGAATACAATGTAACTTGTTGTGGTTGATGGTATGAGATTGAAAATTTGAGATAGACCTCCTATAAGTCTGCGGAATATATCTTAGTAGGAGTTTTATTGATTTCGGAAAGTATAGTGCAAGTAAAAATGCTGCCGGTCTTGGCTAAGTCTAAATGGGTTTTGACTTGCAATCAAACCTTAAGTAGGTGAGAAAGATTGACTTCAGCCGCTTGTCTTGCCTATTAAATCTATTATGAACAGCTTTTGATAAAAAGATTCAAAATTTAGTTATCTTACAGATACAGATTCTGCTTTTGAAATTCAATTATCATGTTAAATCTAGAACCATACCAAGTTAATGAAAACAATAAAACACATGTCACGTGTTTTAAAAACGTGAGTATTCAAAATAAAAATGTTTGTATTTTGAATATCAAATTTATTAAAGGCATTACGTGTGAGTTTAAAAAAATCATTATTATAAATTTTTTTGCGTAGAAATGACAATATTTAGAATAATCGAAAGGGAATATAAAAAGAAAAGGTGTAAATAAATATTTCAGACATAAATAGATTTTTTGTCTAAACCTTCTAGTATAATCTTTAAGTTATACCACGGAAGGTCTTAAGAACATACCTCAAATCTACAAAACAGCATATATATTATCAGTATATTTTCATATTTTAATCTATTTTTCTACTAGCCAAGAATATAAAAAAATTCACACCTAATTTACCAAAAAAAGTATGAAATAAATTTAGAGAAATAATGAAAGCATAATTTAGTATCAGCAATATATTGTCTTCATATATAAGCAATTCCTAGAAAACTCTATACAACATAAGGCTGATTTTTCCTACAGATTCTTAAAATCTAAGCAAATTAATATAACCTTTAAAATAATAACCTTAAAAAGAATCTAATAACTGATTTATATTATAAATTATAAGAATGAAAAGAATTTATATCAAATATAAAAAAGATTGTAAAAAAAGACGATTAGAAGAAAATATGCACGAAGTATTTATATAGAATCATACCTACTTATTCTCGTTATCTTTTACCTTTTTAGGTGTTAAGATATATAGAATCATAAGACAAATTATTTTTTTTTACTTAATATAAATAAACAAAGAAAACAAAAATTAATAACTCTGAAAAATTCTTTTCATATAAATTTCTGTGATAAAATATTTTTATCAGCTTATTACTCATTTCTTCTACACTTTGAACATTAACTCATTATTAAAATTATATTAAATTTAACAAAATATACTGGCAACTAAAAAAAAATATTTAAAGAAATTAAATGAATTCAATATTAAAAAATTTTATAAGTTCCAAATCATATTAGATTATTGAAAAAGTAATTTTTTAGTTATTGAAATAAAAATTTAATACACAAAATATATCTTAACAGTTCCCATATATAACGTTAACAGACGGCATTTAAATTAGATAAATTAAAATTCGAACTCACGGGGATTCGAACCCCGAATCTCCGGCTTCGTAGACCGACGCTTTAACCATTGAGCTATGAGTCCTCTACTTCTGTAGTTTTGACAAATAAATCTTAGTATATAATTATTAAGAATTAAACTATTTTTTTAATCTTTCTAAGTCTTCATTTACATATTCATAAGTGCTTAAATTATAATTATTTTGAGGCGAATTAAATATAGAAATTCTATATATTTAACACAAATTATTAGCAGTCTTTCATTTTCTTTTTTATTTTAGAAGATTTTTTAAAACCGTTAATTTTAATAATAAAACAACTTTAACTACGAACACCAATTCCTTATCACTAACACCTCTTTGATTAATATCCATATCCCGGTAATTAACACTCCTTAGCTAAGAACACCAATTCCTTATCACTAACACCTCTTTGATTAATACCATATCCGTGTAATTAACACCCCTTTAGCTAACAACACCAATTCTTTATCACTAACACCTCCTTGATTAATACCATATCCCGGTAATTAACACCCCTTTAGCTAAGTAGACCGATGGCAGATAATTAAAACCCCTTTAATTACTATAAATAAACCCTACAACAGCCTAGTAATTAACACCACTTTATTTACATAACTTATAAAACACTGTATCATCTGCAATCTGTAGCAAAAAGGAAAGTAAAACACATCTGTAACACTTAAAGATTAAACAAAAGAAAATGTAAAACTACAAAACAAAAAAAATGTCAGATCGACTCCCACAAGACATAAACAATATAGAAATACCATCACGTGGCAGACCACGCAAGAAAGAGATGCATTTAGACGGATTAACCGACGAACAACGTATGGAATATTTCAATGCGAAAGGAATATCGCCCGGTCAACTTTTTGGCGATGATACTGGTATGAGAGATAGACGTACAGATTTCAACACATTTGATTATGGGGGACCACAACCAATGAATAACAATCCTCAGCAGTATCCTCAGCCATACACACAGCCGCCATACTCTCAGCCATACACGCAGCCATATAATTCTTTTTATCCTGAATATCCTTTCTACCAGCCACTGAATGACAATCCGTGGATGAATAGAAAAAAAAGAAAGAATAATCCTCTTCTCTGGCAATATATTAAACACCATCAAGATTTTTATCCAAATATACTTCACCCGTCCAAATATAGTTCTTTAGATTTCATACAAGGCACAGATAAATCACAGAAGATGTATATCGGTACTATAAAACGAGCACCGCCTTTTATTGAGAAGAATAATCATAATTCTATTCTTCCTTTGTATCTGAACAGTGCCCATCCCACAGAGCAACAGCATATTGATGAGTTTAAAAAGATATCGACTAATTTTCTTAATAAGACAGTAGAATTAGACTATGAAAATGTTACTGTACAGCAACTTAAGGCAATTATGAAAGAGTTTGGGTTGAATCATACTGGTAAAAAGATTGATTTGATTGACAGGGTCAAAACCACAATAACAAAAATAGAAGAGAGAAAGAGGAAAGATAAGAAACAAAGTCAGGAGATACCTGAGGATGATAAGGATTTGAATTTTCTCTTTTTTTAAAAAATAAATATAGAAAAAGGAAGGAGAAAAGGTGATAAATTATAAATAGAATTTAAGGGTGTTAATTTTGAAATATAAAGGAGGTGTTAATTATATAGGGATGAGACGGGGTGTTAATTAAACAGACTCGTAGTGTGTTAATTATCAATTGTATAGGAGGTGTTAATTATATAGAGATGGGAAGGGTGTTATTTATAAATAGCGTCATGGGGTGTTAACTTATTTAACGTATAGAAGGTATCAATTATATAGACATATAAATAAATGGTGTTAACTATACTAATATATGTAGTAATTTATAAAAGATGTTAAGTATATAAAAGTTATAACAAATTTATAAAAAGTTTTAAACCAAAGAACAAATGTATAAAAACGATTAAAATACCAATTAATATTGTTTTATAGATTCGACCAAGACTATATTTATTAAATTTTGTATAATTTGTAAATTTATTTGTTATTTTATATTAGAATAGAATATAGACAAACTTATAAGTAAAAAATGATGTTTTAGATAATTTTTGCTGCAATAAATCTACTTTTATATACTTTTTTTAAAAAACAGCCGAATTATTGGCTTTAGCAGAATAATTTGCTGCGAATACATCAATAAAACATCGGCTAATTAATATAAAATATGAAATGAAGATAATTACTAGAAATACAGAAAATGATAACATAGAAACCTTATAACGAATGCGAAGGGAAAAACCATGAGAAAATTGTGAAATATGAGCGGTCAATTCATCTTATCAAAAAACATTTGTTTCTTTATAAAACTGACTATGTAATTTTTTTTAGCGATTTTGGTTGTGTGTTTTTTGTGTAATTCGAGAAGAAATTGTTTTTCTCAATCTCAATAACATAAAAGTGTGTTTAACTGATCTTAATATACATTTGACTCGATTTATATTAAAATAAAAATACGGTTTAAATGTATTTAAATTTACTAACATTATACCAAGTAAAACCTAAAATTCTCTTTAAAATATGAATGGAAAGAGATTCAGAAAGCATAATTATGTTTATTCAATGAATGCTAAGAAATTCAAGCGGTTAAACTATGAATTAGAAATTTATATTTTTTAAAACAAATTTTTGAAGCAAGCCTAAAGATTAAGCTTTGGGTAAATATTTGAATATACAAGAAACCTAATTGAACAGCAGATTAAACTTTAATATTTAAATCGGACACGCGTAAAGTTCCGCTTGAACAATAGGATAATTTAATTTTAACATTTCAGATAAGTTTTAAAAAACATCACCTCTTTAATAGTTCTAAGCAAGATTAATTGAGCATTTTAAAGGATGAAATTGTAATTTTCCAATTAATCATAGAATTGCTCATCAAGATATGAAATTTCAAACACAATAAAATAAAATATTTAGCGAAATAAAAGCCACAATCTTTACTAATTCACATTTGAAAATACAGAATAGATTCATTACAATAATAATATAAATATAGAAAAAGAAAATCGAGTATAATATATAGAGATTTAATATCTAATTAGTCACGATTTCAACAAAATATGTAAAGAATATCTTTTTTGGAAATAAATGTCAATAAAGCATATATTTTGAGCCGATTTGATATGTGAGAACTAAATGATTCTAGGAGCTACAAAACCAAGTTTAGTAATGCAATTGTAAAATACTAATACTTATGTATATCGAGCCAGGTATCATTATTCAAGCTAAATTCGGAAAGGTTATTACATTAAACCCGTTATTTTCTTTCATAATTGGTTAATTGTAGCAAATAATTTGATATAAAGAAAAAAGAAAAAACTTGTAAATTTTACCAGATGAAATTCTTATACTATTGCTAAGCCGTATTTATTTTTAATTAAAATAATTGATCAAACTTTCTGTTCCATTCAAAATATACGTTCAAACATCTGATCCTTAACCACATAATTATCAATGTTTTATAGTTCTCTTCAATAGGTGTCTTTTTTTGCTATTTAAGCAAGATAATTAGACAAAATAACATACATCATTAATATTTTTTACAAAACATACGGAATTAGATGAGCATTACAAACCAGAGATCCATTTTTAAGCATCATAGTTTACTTCGGTTTTCTGATTAAAAATAATTTCTTGAAAGCGTTAATTTATATAGACTTTCTTTTTGCTCTAAGTCATTTTTTTGGAAAGATAAGCAGGTGACTTTATTGCCTTATGATAAAATTTATGTCTTTTCAGTTCGATTTCGTCTATAATTTATTTCGCTTTATATCAATTTATATAAATCGATATTTTTTTTAAAAAATCTTATTTTTAAAAGAATGTGTTTACTTCTACATCATTCTGAGTAATAAATTTATCCAGTAAAACTAAATAGCCTAATACTAAATTAAGTTACATGGATCTATCTCACTTTTTATTTAAAGAAAAATATAATACGAGCTTGATATCAATATATCTCGGAGAAATTCGTTTATTTTTAATATATTATGAAAATCAGAATTTTTATAAAATTTTTCTGATAAAAATTAAATAGAATTATGAATTTTTTTTAATTGGAATTTTCTAATGATGCATATTTTTTAAAAAGATTTTTTATATAAAATTTGAATAGTAAAGCGGTATAGAATTTTTCTAAAACGATTTTAATAATACTTCAATTTGTTTAAAAACGTTATTAAGAATATTTTTAGTCTTCATGAATTTTTTCACAGAGATATTATTTTTGCAGTGTAAAATATCTTTTTTTTAACTTATGCTTTTACCTTGATAAACACACCAAATAGGATAAAATGTAATAGAAATTACATAAATCGAAGAACTTAATAGCAAATTTCAGTTGAAGGTTTGTATTTGATTTTCATAATTACAGGTTTTCTCACGATTAAAACACTTTTTTTAATATAAAAGCCTAAACTATCTATTAGAGTTCGTAAGAGTAGAAATAAAAATGAATAAACTTTTTAAAGAAGAGATATATAGTTCTATCTTATTTTTTTTGGAGGAATACAGAATAATATTATTGAGCAAGCTACCATATTGAAGTCAAAACAATGATTTAATTTTTTATTAGTTGAAACATGAAAGCTTTAAGTATAATTAAAAGTCATTTTGAAATAATTTTTATTGGAAAATTCTATAATCGTTTGTTATATTTAGTTCGAAAGTTTATTATAATATATAAGCTTTAGAATTTAGCTAATTTAATGATATTATGAATTTTTAAAAACAGAATCTCGTAGTTTAAGATTAATAAAAATATTATTTCTAATAATATTTAATAAAAGAAATATAATTTAGATTTTTAAATTCCGAATTATTATAACAGAAGTAAATTAGGATAAATATTAAAAGTAACTATATTAGAAGATAATTAATTCGAACCAACTATATTTAATAGATTATGATACAGTCTTAAAGGTTTTTGATGTAGAAAGCTAAGGTTTTTTGCGATAGTAATTTTAAAAACCATGATTTGTTAATTAATAAATTAATTAAATAGATTGGTACATATTTTCA